ATGAACATGTGTTATTTGGATAACCCAATAAAAGTCTTTCTATTAAAAGCACACCCAGCACATGAGTGTCATGGAGCCTGGCAATGCTGCACTAGGCTACAACCACTCGAAACCACCAGGGAGCCGCTTTGAATAATTCATGGGAAGCAGGGCGCTGAGACCACAGCTAGGCTTACAGGTCCAGTCTTGGAGCAGGCCCTTCACTACTTAATACCGAAGCCTAATAATTTCCAAAGTGTCTTAGCAGGTCCTCCCCCAGGGAAAAAGCAAGTTAAGCATGGGCTGTTACTGTGAAATGGAAATCCATTCACCCAGGGAATCTTTTTAATTGACCCACTTATGGTGAATAATAATCCAAGAAAATAATATTGATTTTTCTCTTTTAGGCGTATTGAGTCAAAAAGGATGGGTTCCTTTCCTGGGTGTAATGTGTAGCACTCATTTTAAGTACGTTTTGAATATGTTTAAAAAGAAAACTACTTCCGCCACACTGTTATTTATTTTACAATCAAGTTTCGCTAGTGTATCACGGACATTCTTATTTCTTGGGAGGAAAATCACTAAAAGTTTAGATGTATCTAAAGCTGACTTTGGGAGCGCAGTAGCTCCATGTGATAAGCACTGGACTGCGAACTACAAGGCTCGTGGTTTGTGGGGAGATAATGCTTTCTGCTACCCAAAAGACTTAAAGTCTCAGAAAACCTTATACAGGGTCTCGCTATGAGTTGGAACTGACTCCATAGCGCTATAACAACAACAAAACTTTGTCTCCAGATCATCCTTATGCTACTTACTTGACTTTGTTGTCCAGGTATAGACACGTATGTCTAGTCATTCCATTTAACTTGGATAAAGAAAGAACTTTGCCCATAAATATTTGAGTTGGTCAACTGAGTTTGGATTAATGATAACAGCCTAAAAACGAGCCCAGTTATGGGGTGGTGGGAGGTGAAGATTCTCAGCATGTGTGCATGCCTGCTTTTTTAGCTCCAGTGTAGTATGGTAGAATGTGGGCTTTTCTTTCTTGCCTTCAGATAAAAATGACTCCACTTTATTTTCTGAGCAGTACTTGCTCCTAACTAGTTTTTTGTAGACAGGAATGGAACAAATTTATAGAGCTATATTCTACCTATTTATTTTTAACATCTTTTTTTTTTTTTCTATCTAGTAAAGGCCCAGGATCAGACATTGTTTCGTTCTGCTGTGCATGGGGTCGCTATGAGTCGGTTCCGACTCGATGGCACCTGACAACAACAAAGGCAGGGAAGTTGGGTGCATGATCTTGATGCAATCTAGCCTTTCTGTTGAATGTAAGAAACCAAGCAGTCTTGCCTTTTGTATTCAATATTTGCTTGGAAGTGCCTTGAAATATAGTAAATGAGGAAAGCATCTACTACCAGCTTAGTATAAACTGTATTACGTCAGCATGGTATATGTTGTCGTTAAATGCTGTCGAATTGGTTCTGACTCATAGTGACCCTTATAGGGTTCCCAAGGACCACCGACCTTGTGGTTCAAACTGAGCGTACAGTCCAGCGCTTTATCCCTTAGCCTGGTATACAGTGCTATTTCTATTAAAAGGGCAGCCGGACAAGCACAGGGACAAAACCAATGATTGCTCCAGTCTCTCCATGGCAGTTTTAACATACACGTTGTTCCTACTTTACCGTTAGTCATGACAGTGATGTTGGGGAAAGAAAGGACAAGGTAAAAACATTCATAGATGAAACCTCAAGATAGATTATTATTGTTAAGTACCTTCAAGTTGGTTCTGACTCAAAACGACCCTGTATAGGGTTTTCCAAGGCTTTAAATCTTTGTGGGAGCCGAAAGCTTTATCTGTCTCCCACGGAGTAACTGGTGGGCTCAAACTGCAGACCGTGTGGTTCAATGTCCAGTCCTTATTATATGGAGCCACCGCACTCCCAAAGTAATGAGAGGGTCAGCAAAAACGAGGAAGAGCCTCATGAGGTGGATTGACTTGGTGGCTGCAACCGTGGACTCTAAGTAATGATGGTGGGAATGGTGCGAATCCTGCTGTGTGTGGCATGGCTCTGAGACAGACTGACTAGACCTAAGGTCAACAACTCTGTTAAGGCCTGAATAAATGTCAGCTTTGAATTTTGCTATATAAATGAACATGATTTATATTTCTTTACTAAAGCATATTGCATGCTCTAGAAAACTAAATAAATCTTTTGAAGTTGTTGAATGGTGTTGGAGCACTGGGCTACATTTGAATCGGCCTGAGTTTTACATGTACATCCTGGTAAAATTTCATTGCCCTCCTTTGCTGGTAATACCACCCTTGACTGGGGGAAGTCAGGGTGAATGGCAGTGCTTACTTACCCTCCTGTGAAGCCATTTTCTACCTGTGGCTAACATTCTTTCAAATAAGCCCAGTAACCACTGATAGATAGGTGGTTGTTGTTAAGTGCCATGGAATCAGTTCTGACTCAGAGCAACCCTGTATAGTGTTTCCTTGGAGTGGGTGGTGAGCTTGACTGCCGACCTTGTGGTTCAAACTGACCTTGCAGTGCAGCACATTAGCCCACAGTGCCACACCAGGGATCTCTTTTATTTAGTTCTTTAATAAGATTGAAGGAAAAATCGGGGAAATATGAATTGTAATATTGAAAGGCAATAGATTCATAGTTGTATGTCGGAACATGGTTTATTATTTTGTTGTTGTTGTGTGCTGTTAAGTTGGTTCCAACTCATAGCAACCCTGTATAGGATTTCTGAGAGCAGCTGGTGAGTTTGAACTGCTAACCTTGTGGTTACCAGCCCAATGCTTATCCTACAGTGTCACACTAGGGCCAATTGGGTTTATTATAAGCTTGGGAAATTAAAGAAAATTACTTCAAAGGCTTCTTCTATTCTTGATTTTTGGTACTCTGAAAACTAAGGAAGGTGTGTCCCTGTACATAATGGTCTTTAACTTTGGCATTGCATATGCAGAGACTTTTAAAAGGATGTTTTAATAAAACTTAGCATAAGGCTCTCTACTAGAAGCTTCTGAAACATTAGCTAGGATCATCCCTTGCTTTAGCTAAACTGACCACTATAGTTATGACACTATGGGATAAGCTCAGGACCACAAGGTTGGTTTGAACACAAGACTGGTGATTCAAATTCACCAATCGCTCCTTGGAAACTGTATACTGAGTCAGAACCAACTTGACGGCACTTAGCAACAACAACGTGGTTATTACAGAAAAGGAAAGCAACAAAACCCAAACCTGTTGTCATCAAGTAGATTCCGACTCATTGTGGCCCTAGAGGACAAACCGGAACGGCTCTGTCGGACCGGTTCCCAAGGCTGTGAATGGGTACAGAAGCAGACTGCCACAGCTTTCTCCCACAGAGCAGCTGGTGGATTTGAACCACGTTTGGGTTAGCAGCTGACTGCTTTAACCAGTGCACCAGGAGGGCTATCACAGTCGTTGTTAAAGGAATTTTTACTCATCAAATTTTGTGATTTTCTTCCACATACTATAAGGAAATATCTATATCTTAAGTGAAGATAAGATCAGAAGTATCATATTAGTTTAAAATTACTCAAATGATTTCACCAAAATATGTATATAAGGGGCCTTCAAAAGGTTCATGGAAAATTTCTTTAGCTTTTAATTCCATTTTTCCATGAACTGTTTGAAAGTCTTTCATACTTTCCTCAAAAGCTGACACTTTGATTTTCCTTCCTGAGTTGTTGTGAAGTGTCAACAGTTGGTTCTGACAAATAGCCACCCTGCATAGCATTTCTGAGACTGAGTCTTTGCAGGGGCAGCAAGTCTCATCTTTCTCCTGTGGAGCAGATGATGGCCTTGAACAGCTGACCTTATAGTTTACCACCCAGTGTTTATCCCACAGAACCACCACGCTCCCACTTGGTTGTTGAATAGTTACTAAGACTGAAAAGTTCCCCTCCCTATTTATACTCACTGCCGTTGAGTTGATTCCAATTCATCATGACCCAGCATATGGTTTCTGAGATGGTAGCAGGAAGTCTCATCTTTATCTATTAGAACGGCTGGTGGGTTTGAACCACTGCCTTTGTGGTTAACAGCCCGATGCCTAACCCACAGTGCCACCAGAGCTCCTTTCTTGTACTTATTGTTAAGTGCTGTCCGATCGGTTCCGACTTGTAGTGACCCTATATAGGGTTTCTGAGGAGCAGCTGAAACTCTAACCACACTAAAGTAAGCTAAATAAGAACTGTGGAATGGCGTATTGTGGAGTCAGTTCCGACTCTTAGCGACCCTGCATAGGGTTTCCAAGGCTGTAAATCTTTATGGGAGCAAAAAAGAAAGCCTCATCTTTCTCCCAAGAACAGCTGGTAGTTTCGAACTGCTGACCTTAAGGTTCACAGCCCGATTTATAACCAGTATGCTCCTGTTGCCCTCTAGTTGAGCCTGCGGAATACAGCAGCACTGGGTTTCCAAGGTTGTAATCTGTGTGTAAATAGACAGCCACATCTTTCTCCCACAGAGCGACTACTGGGCTAGAACCACCGACCTTTCACTTAGTAGCCAAGTGCTTAGACACTGTGCCGCTAGGGATCCTCAGATTTGAGGGACGTGAGGCAGAAACATTGTGGCTTGTCTGGGGTCACCAGAAGTCCCAAAGAGCTAGATTTCCACCTCTGCCAACTCTCTCTTCTACCTCTCCATTAACCTGTTCATGTGTGTTATTGACACTGAGGAAAAGTCCCGGAGTATGCCAACAGAGTTCACCTTCTCAAACAGTCATCCTTTTTCAAGGTGACGCATTGTTTTTAAATGTTATGTTTATGCCTTAGCTACAGTACTGATGATGGTAGGGTCAGACTTTGTGCCTTTCAGCTTTGCTACTCACATAACCTCTGAGAGCTTGATTATCCTCCTCAGATCAGGCAGGTTGGGCTGGATTATCTCTAAGACTGGTGGCTAATATTTGTTTTAAGCATCCATGACATTTGTCTTTTTTTCTTTCTGTCTGTCTGTGTTTTATTGTCATAGGTTCACCAAGTTGAAGAGTCTTAACCTTTCCAGTAATCATTTAGGAGATTTCCCATTAGCGGTGTGCAGTATTCCGACCCTGACAGAGCTGAATGTGTCCTGCAACGGCCTGCGTACACTTCCCGCTGCCGTCGGAGTCATGCTCAAGTGGGTACTGAACACCCGTGTGGGGCAGCCCCCATAGAGAGCAGGGACGCAGCCCACTATAGGCCTGGCCCTGCCCCTCTGGCTGGGTAAGGCTTAGCTTTCATGCAGACTACAAGCCAGCCATGGTCTCTCTCTAGGGAGCACATTTATTCTCTTGTAGGAAAGTAAAGTGTCCCTGTTGAGAACCGACAGTCTCCCGGGGTGAGCAGGTCTCTATATATCTATATCTATATCTATATACATAGGGGGTTAGGAGGCTACCTTCTCCTTTTCTGAGTTATCTTAAACTTCTAAGGACTGTAAAGTCAGCTCCAACTCTTAGTGACACTGTATGTGGTCTCCAAAGAGCAGCTGATGGGTTTAAACCGCCGACCTTGCGGTTCACAGTCCAGTGCTTACCCTATAGCACTACATCTTAAACTCTAGAACTGAGCAATTGATTTTTAAATTACCAGGGAAGATAGGTGTTAGGACTTGGTTCACACTGCGACTAGCTCACATTGTCCCCATTTAATGTCTTTTCAAGTGGAGAAACTTGGTCATAATTTTCATTTTCAAGAAAAGATTAGGATGCTTATTTCTGATCTTGTCTTTCTGGATCATCACCGCCCCAGGCTCTGCCTTACGCACTTTGCTAGGCACAATGCATTTTTAATGAATGGTATTTATTGTACTTGTGTATTGGTAATAGAACTATAACATTTATATTACATTTCTCTTGGTAATTCTTATGTTTTCTGTTACTAGTTTGCAGACATTTTTGTTGGATGGAAATTTTCTTCAGTCTCTACCTCCTGAGTTGGAGAGCATGCACCAGCTTAGTTACCTGGGTCTTTCTTTTAATGAATTCACGGACATTCCAGAAGTCTTGGAGAAATTGACGGCTGTGGAGAAACTTTGCATGTCTGGAAACTGCTTGGAGACTCTGAGGCTACAGGCTTTAAGACCAATGCCTCACATTAAGCATGTGGATCTAAGGTAGCCATTTTTTAGAAATATATTCTATTTGTTTGGTTTGTTTATAATTGTTGTTGTTAAATGCCCTTGAGTCAGTTCTGCCTCATAGTGACTCTATATAGGGTTTCCAAGGATTTGAACTGCCAACTGTGTAGTTAGCAATCAAGTGTTTATCCTACAGCTCCACACTGAATTATACTTAGGGGTAGGGCATAGCCGTACCAAGCCCAGCCAAGGCAAGCAGGCTGCTTAGTTGAAATGAGGGCCTATTTTCATATTTTTTCTCAGAGGAAAGAATGATTAATGGTAGAATTTGCACATATCTGAAACAGATCTCTGGAATGTTTTACAAATTTGAGCCCAGTTTTAATTTGCATGAATAGATAAGGCCATAAAGGCCTAGAGAGCTAATTATAGTGAATGAAACCATGTAATTGAGAGGAAAGTGGGTATTTTTTTGAATCCTTCCTTTCTGTGGTTCATTTGAGGCATATGACATTATTGATCTTCCCTCCTTATTTTTTTTCCTTCCTTACTTTTCTTCTTAATGTAATATACATGAATAAGTCAAACAGTATTGCTATAAAATCATAGAAACTTGTGTACTAAACAAAAATCTCAAAATATAAACTATTGTTTCTCAACATATCCTCTACCTAAACTTACACACTTCTGAAGGCACTGTGTTCATCTCTTGAACAATTCTCTAAGGAATTCTGCATTCATTAATTTCTATTATGTCAAAACCTATGTCATCCTTGAGGGACTTGAGTCGTGTTCATTTTCAGTGTTTTGTGAGTTTAGGTGACAGAAGTCTGAAGGGGGAAGATCAGTCTGTAGAATGGATGGACAGAAGTCTGAAGAGGGGACGATCAGTCTGTAGGATGGATGGACAGAAGTCTGAAGGGGGAAGATCAGTCTGTAGAATGGATGGGATGAGGTTTTCCCACACAATTCTTGTAGGACAGCCTTTGCTACCCTGGAAAAATAAACAGGTACATTTTAATGACAGAAAAAAAAAATTCCTCAGTGCAATGCTCCTGGATTTTTTATGACCAGTGCAGTATTCAGTTTTCTTAAAACATCTTCATACTGAGCCTCTCTGATCATCCTGTGTCCTTCAAGAAAATCTACCAAAATAACCCTTTTGGAATTCCAAAAAACAGTCGGTTATGACCTCAACTGATCTCTGCATTGAATTTAACTGGTCAAACAGATCCCCTCAGAAGCACTATTTTCATTGGTGTTTTTGGGAAACACCCTAACAAGATTAATACGAGTGTATCGCTGAGAGAACTTGGCTGATCATAGAGATGTTTTAAAACATATTTTACATGTATTAACTGGAACCCTAGTAACAATACTTTTTCACTTACCTTTGTATCATTAAATCAATTTGATTTACTTATGTATTTCTTCTGACTTCCTCTTTATTTAAGTAATGCTTCCCTTATTTCACTATTCTTTACTAAAATATAATATCTGTAATCATCTGGTAGGCCAAGGTAGGCTCTAGCTTCCACTTCCACGAGTTTCATGGGCAGGGACTCTACGTTTGACTCATGATCAGACCACACTCCGCTGGGAAGGGCTAGCACTGTTCTGGCAACAGGAGGTGTGGTCAGCAGTCATCCCTAGGAAGGCAGGCCTGGTCTGAGCTGCTAATGTGCAGAGAGGCAGCATGGAAGGAAAAGAGGGAGTTTTTCTAATTTTTTTTGTTAGGAGAAGCCTCTTGCTGTAAACTTGAGTTCCTTCAAAGCTCCACAAGGTGGTGGTTCAGAACCACGTGCGGCTCCTTGGAAAACCCTATAGAGGAACTGGCTCGATGGCACTTAACAACAGCAACAACAAAAACCAGTGTTTTTCAGTCTGATGTTTATCAAACATTGCAATCAAGATGCATTGATAATTGCTGGTAACTGGAAAGTGAAACTTTGAAACAGAAGAGGGATCACTACTTGGGAAATGTGGCCTTGGTGATAGAAAAGACTGTGGAAATCACATGATATAATTTTACAAGACCAATAACAAACTGTGTACAACATTGTAAAGAGTGGGAATTCCAGAAAACTCAATTGTACTCATGTAGAACTTGTACATAGATCAAGAGGCAGTTGTTCAAAGAGAAGAAGGGGATACTGCCTGTTTTAAAACCAGGAAAGGTGTGTGCCACAGATGTATCATTTCACCATACTAATTTCATCTGTATGCTGAGCAAAAAGTTCAAGAAAATGCACTATGTAAAGAAAAACACAATTTGGGGATTAAAGGAAGACTGATTAACAATCTGATAGTCAGCAGAAACAGCCTTGCTTGCTGTATTAAAAGAAGACATGAAGCATTTATTGATGACCACCAAAGACTATAACCATCAATATGGATTAAATTCAATGTAAAGAAAACTAAGATCCTCCCACTGGACCAATAAAAACATGATAAATGGAGAAAAGATGGAAGTCAGCAAGGATTTCATTTTACTTGGATCCACAGTCAGCACTCATGGAAACAGCAATCAGAAATGAAACCATATATTGCATTGGACAAATCAACTGTAAAAGACCTCTTTAAAGTGTTAACAAACAAAGATGTCACCTTGAGTACTTTGATTCCATGTTATATCACCACCACTATAGGCAATGAAGTCCTGATGTGGCACTATATGGTAAGTTCTGGACCGCAAGATCTGTTTGAACCACAAGGCTGGTGGTTCAGACTCATCATTCATTCATTGGAAGCCATATACAGGATCACAATGAGTTAGAACCAACTTGACAGCACTTAACAGCAACAACATAGGCAAAATACTGAATGATGCAGGAAGCATCCAGAGAGGATGGAAGGTATATGCAGTCACTGTACCAGAAAGAAATGATTGATGTTCATCTATTTCAAGAGGTAGCATATGATCAGCAACTGATGGTACTGAAGGAAGACATCAAAGCTACACTAAAGGCATTGGCAAAAACAATGCTCCAGGAGTTAATGGAATATAAATGGAAATCTTTTAACAAACTGACATAGTATTGGAGGCACTCACTCATCTGTGACAAGAAATTTAGAAGACAGCTCTCTCGCCAGCCAACTGGAAAAGATCCATTATTTGTGCCCATTTCAAAGAGAAGTAACTTACCGGAATGTGGAAATCATAGAACAATATCATAAGTACCACGTGCAAGTAAAAGTTTGTTGATGATAATTCAAAATTGGCCACAATGGTATATTAACAGGAACCTGCCAGAAACTCGAGCCAAGTTCAGAAGAGGACATGGAATGAGAAATATTGCTGGCATGCGATGGATGGTGGCTGAAAGCAGAGAATTCCAGAAAGATGCTTTTATCTGTATTTTATTGACTATGCAAAGACTTTCGACTATAGATCATTGCAAGCTGTGGATACTATTGAGAAAAATGTGTCTTCCAGAACAGTTAAATGTGTTCATGAAAACCTGTACATAAACCAAAGCGATAATACTGAATGGTTTAAAATCAGGAAAGGTCTGCACCAGGTTTGTATTCTTTCACCATACTTATTTAAATTGTATGCTGAGCAATTGAGAAGCTGGATTACATGAGGGAAAACGTGGCATCGGGACTAGAGGAAGACTCATTAACAATCTGTGATAAGCAGATGACACAACCTTGCTTGCTGAAAGTGAAGGGGACTTAAAATACTTAACTGGATGATATCAAAGACCACAACCTTCGTTAAGGTATGCACCTCAGCGTCAAAACAAAACAAAACAAAAATCTTCACAACTGTACCAGTAAATAACACCATGACAAATCAAGAAAGGATTGAAGTTGTCGAAGAATTCATTTTGTTTGGATCCAGTATCAGACCAACACTCATAAAAGTAGCAGTCATACACCAGAGATGGTAGGCAGAGACAATGATGTTGGAGGCACAGAGAGGCAGGGGACTCTAGACTCAAGGAGGGAGAGGGGCTGTGTACTGACAGCCATGGGGCTGCTGTGCAGGGCATACCCTTTGGTGGTTTGAATGGTTATGTACTTCTGAGGGCTTTGGTGTACATCCGAAAACAAAAACAAAAAAACTAAAGGGATTGGAAGCAAAGGCTGTTGAATGATGGTACATGGAGGGAATTGAAATTATTGCAATGAAACAAAATATGATAGGATGAACATAAAGCTTTGGCTCTCCCATGTAAACTATCACTCAGTTCACAATAAAAACTTATATAAAAAAAAAAATTTTAAAAAAAGTAGCAGTCCTGAAATGAAACAATGTATTGCTTTAGGTAATTCTGCTGCATAAGACCTCTTTCAAAGTGTTGAAGAGCAAAGCTGTCAGTTTGAGGACTAAGGTTCACGTGACCCAAGCCATGGTATTTTCCATAGCTTCATATGCATGTGAAAGTTGGACAGTGAATAAGGAAAACTGTAGAAGGATTGATGCATTTGAGTTATGGTATTGGAGAAAGATATTAGAAGTACCATGAACTGCCAGAAGAGCAAACAGTCTGTGTTGGAAGAAGTACAACCAGAATACTCCTTAAAAGGCAGGATGGCAAGACTTTGTCTCTCATAATTTGGACATGTTATCAGGAGGGACCAGGAGGGCTGGTAGCGTAGTGGTTATGAATCGGGCAGCGAACTTCAAGGTCAGCAGTTCGAAACTACCAGCTGCTCCGTGGGAGAAAGATGAGGCTTTCTGCTCCCGTAAAGATTAATAGCCTCAGAAACCCTGTGCAGGGTCGCTAGGAGTCGGAACCGACTGCACGGCACATAACAATAATCAGGAGGGACCAGACTCTGGAGAAGAAGCACATCATGTTTGGCTAAAGTGGATAGTCAACAAAAGAAGATCCCCCAAGGTGGTATATTGGCACAGTGAAGCTGAACAGTAACACCAGGGAGGTAAGCACTTCTTGTAACAATCAACCATATGAGCTCAGAAGGGCAGCATTTCACAAGTAATAAGTTCAGAAGGTAGGCAGGGACAAGAAAGCAGGATGAATAGAAATAATAAACGGAAGAAGTGGGACTTGTGGGGATTGCAGTCAATGTCAGGAAATAAGTTTATGAATTTTTTAGAAAACAGAAGACATTATTTTTTATGACCTGGCTGGAACCCTCACCTACAAATCTGTGGCTGGAATAAGATCCTTCTATTCTGTCCAGAAGTAACTATAACTATTGTTATAAAATGCTTCATTGGCTCTTCAGATTTCTAGTTCTCACTGGAGTCTTGTGAGGTGACTTCATTTACAGGAGATTTAAATACCGCAGCCAACCCTAGGCTTTCTGTAAATGCTCAGTAACTGACTGAGCCAGCTTAACTGCTTCCCTCCAGGCCTTAGCCTAGGAGAACAGTCTGGTTGGATTTGCTGTAAGTCTGTCTTAATATTGAAGCAGGGAGGATCATCTCTGAGGAGTTTCACCTGTTTGTTTAAACAGAAGACTAATTTTATATTTGAATTTTTATTTCTTCAGATGGAAATTTTGCATCTGTTAAAAGTCATCATTAATCTTTACCCTCTTTCTTCTCCTCATGTGCTTTGACTCTGAGACGGTTTCTTGGGCCGCATGTCTCCTTGGTTGTTGTTCTCTGTTTTCTGCTGTGGCAGAAGAGTACACGTAGTCTTGAGAATGACTCTACCTCAGCTGCCGTGGATCACATCCCCTGGGCTTCCTTCAGATACAGGTGCAGGCAGGGAGCTACCTGCATGTGAAGCAGGGTGCACTTGCTTTCCTCTGCAGAGTCTGTTCTTTCCCTGCCTTCCTGTCTGTGCCCACAGCTACCCCACTGTGTTTGCTGAGTAGATTCAGAATGTTGAGAGTTGTCATTCTTCTCAGATCTCGTCTAATCCTACCCCTACTCTGCTTCAGCACCAGAGTCTGTCAGTCCTTACTGTGTGGTAGCGTCTTTTTCACCCCTTCCTCTTCTTACTCACTGCTCACATTTCCTAGCTGAGTGGCTGTACGGTCTGAGTGGCCTTCAGTTTTTTAGTTTGTGGTTTTGAAGCCTCGTGTTTGGTTTCAGCCCACCAGTCCGTGAGTGTCTGGAAGCCAAGGCTCTGTCTGCAAACGGATCATGGTGTGGTTCACCAGCCTGTGCTGGCAAGCCAACTATTTGCTGCTGCTGCTGGTGGTGGTTGTGTGCTGTGGAGTTAGTTCCAATTCAGAGTGACCCTGTATAGGCTTTCTTGGCCTGGAAATCTTTATGAGAGCAGAAAGCCTCATCTTTCTCCTATGAAGTGGCTGGTAGATTCGAACTGTTGTTCTTGTGGTTAGCGGCCAGCCCAACTCATAACCCACTTACTACCAGGGCTCCTAGCTGTTTGTTGCTGCTCCACAAATGGAGATGACTCTGTGACATTGTTGCTTAATGGCCGGAGTGCTTTATAAGTGGACCCATCTCATTGTACAGAAATTAGACTTGTGGGGCTTGTTGAACTTCATGGTGCCTCACGTGTGGTCTGAGCTGTGTACCGTCCTATGTAGCAGAACTAGGCACCTAGTCTGTGATGCATTCAAAATTTAGAAAAAGGGCCTTCACTATACATAACTTGAAGAGCCCTGTCCATATTTATCTCTGAGTGGCCAGTGCTGACACTTAGCAGGTACACAACTTGACAGGTATTTATTGACAGAATAAACAAAGCCATGTCTGGTAGCAGATTCTCCTGCTTTCTCAAAGCCGCGCTCTCAGGAACCTGTGCACTAGTGCATGGCGAAGCCTCGGGCTTTTCCTTCTGCTAAGATCTGTTATCTTGTCTGCTCCTCTGCGTCTGTCACATGCACGGGCCCTCTGGGAATCCGATGAGGCGCTTCCTCTGCCACTGCATCTTCTTGAGCTGTCTTTGCTGTTTCCTTGATGGCGTTTAGCACATACTTGTCATTATACTTTAGATTTTCAAAGCACATCTGGTTTCTCTCACTAAGTTTCATAGTTTTCTTCTTCTGTCCGCCTCCCAAAAGACAGGCCATCATAGCCTTTCAGAGTGTACAGTACAAGTTGTTGCTTCAGCTCTGACTCATAGTGACCCCCTGCAAAACAGAATGAAATGCTGCTCAGTCCCGCGCCATCTTCCCTATCATCATTGTTATGTGTGAACCCATTGTTGGCGCTTCTGTATCAGTCCATCTCCTTGAGAGTCTTCTCTGTCTCGATGACCTTCTAGTTAACCAAGCTGATGGTCCTCTCTTGGAACTGTCGCCTCCTGATAACATGTCCAAAGTAAGTGAGATGAAGTCTGACTATTCTCGCTTCAGAATAGCATTCTGGTTGTACCTCTTCCAAGAGAAATTTAGAAAACATACAATAATCATTTGGTCTCCTCCACTGTTGTGCAGGATAAGGGAAATGCTCTCCGCGTTTTACAGATTAGGATTTGTTTGTAGGTATATTAGGTGGCTTCCTCTAGATCATCTATCCAAGGTGTAGAGCAGCAAACCTGAGACTCAAACATGGTGGTCTTTTACTCTGCCTCTCTACACATACTGACTGCTCAATCAAAATTTATGTAGTAAATAGAATGACTGTATTAACTGAAACATTATTGGTTAGAAGGGAATATTAATCACATTTTGCCTCTTAAAAAGTTCATCCTAAATGGATGTGTTATTGTGTAACCTTAAAACATTCATACAGTGCTTGAATCATGGTGAGACTTGACAGTTTAAGCTAAACAGTGGGAATGCTAACTTTCCTTACATTGTAATTTTTCATTTGTCTCATTAAGACAATCCTTTTGTTACTTTAGTGTCAATATGAAATTGGAGGGGAGGGACTCTTGCAAATAAAGATGATAAGGCAACATTATTAAGGTTATATAATACAGATCAGGGAGGACATATGGGGCATTTTTCAACTTCTATAGTCTGTTGTATCTAAAATATGATCTCCCCCACCCCCAATTCTGTGAAATTTGAGTAATCTAGTGAGCATTTGGAAACAGGCAAATTGCTGGGTTAGGGCCAATTTTTTCATCTTACAACCTGGGATAAAAAGAAAAGAAGCCAAAAAACCCCTCTTGGGGACATTTGAAGAGCCCATATGCTGTGCTTGCATGTCGATGAGCCCTGGCCCTCTGCTGGCTCTCATCCTGTGCTTCACAGCTTCATGAGACTGCTAGTAATAATTCAAGTCCTATCATTTTACTTAATTATTTTAAAGGACAAAAATTCACTGCAGAAAACCTTCAGCATCTTTTTCCTAAACTGTAGCCTTAACATCATCACTTTCCTAACCACAAGTGCCTGGTCTTAGTCCTTGGTGGCAGTGGTGGATGGTTAAAAGACTTGGACAAAGCACAGTAAATTAATAATTGAGATGATCTTTTTTTTTCTCTTGAAGCTAAATGAATTGGTGTGATATTGGTTCATAGGCCCCATTGCTACTTACTTATCCTCTGGTGCGTCATCCACAGCACCTTTGGTCACTAGCTAACTAATCATACAGTAAAGCCTGTGAAAATGGGAATCTTTGTAAGGTGGAAACTTGTCAGAGAAAGAAAACCTCAAATATTTACCACTAAAGTGGTCAGACTACACCATGCTAAAGGCGGAAAATTCTCAAGACTGGGAAAATCCAAGCCGTTCTGTCAAGTTCAGCTCTCACGGGTTTCACTGTATAATGGCTCGAGAAGCTTCCAGTGTTTCCTTTTGCTTTGCCTTGTCTTAGAGTTGTTGATCCCCAGTGTTGTCATTCATTTTCTAATGTCTCAGTGAATCATAGATGCCAAATGAGCCTTTGTTGCACTTTGCGTTTTCAAGCAGTGCTTTAAAGATGGCACTATGTTGGTCCTTGGTCCCACGCCAGCTGAGAGCCACCCTCTTGTATTCCTACCACGACTGTATACATGAGTCCCATTCATTCATTCTTTCCTTTCCAAGTTCAGCTTTTACTCCTGACCTCATCATTCACTAGCCCAGCCCCTTTATGTCTTAAGTAGCTGATATGGTTATAATGTGCTTGGTGGGTTGTTCTGGGTTTTGTTTCTTATGTTCTTTTCAGCACTTTCTCAGCCCACTTCTTTGGACATGAATACTTAAATTGTTTGTTGTTGTTGTTGTTGTTGTTGTTGTTTTTTTGCCTCTTGAAAAGAATGAAGGTGGAGTCAATGTGCTTGTCCTTTTTCTAGCCATAGAGATCTAAATTCTGTTTCAGCCAAAACATTGTGGGGTTAAAGCTGAAATTTGCCCGAGAATCTGGCCAGATGTTGAAGTTAAATCACGTAGAACTACAAATCTTTCTCGTTACCTTGCCATTTTGGGGTGTGGCTGGTTATTGATAACATTTCAGTTTAATTATAGTCTTTTTGTCTTTTTCCCTCAAGACTGAACGTAATCAAGAAGTTAATAGCCGATGAAGTAGACTTTCTCCAGCATGTCACTCAGCTTGACCTGCGTGACAATAAGCTAGCTGATCTAGATGCTACGATCTTCAACAACATTGAAGTTTTGCACTGTGAAAGGAATCAACTGGTGACACTGAACATCTGTGGCTGTTTCCTAAAAGCTCTCTATGCCTCTTCTAATGGTATGTACCAGAGACCACATCAGCGTTCCTCTTGCTCCCACGACCTTACCCGGCACCATCAGTTTGCCTCTCTTTGATTTAAAGTTCCCTGTTTTAGTAAAGTAAATGTCAGGTTTTGCTAAAAGTTACAAAAGGAGACTGCTGGTTTGGCATTTGTTGTTGTTAAGTGCCACTGAGTCGGTTCCGATCCATAACGAACCCTGTATAGGGTTTCCAAGAAGTGGCTGGTGAGCTTGAACCACCGACCTCATGGTTCAAGCTGACTTTGCAGTCCAGCACATTAAACCACAGTGGTTTGGTATTTACAGGAAGCAAATGAAAACGGAAACTGTGGCTTTTCTATGATTCCTAACTTGTTGGGTTGTTTTGTTTTGTTTTGTTTTTGTAACGTGTTGTTTAGATAAGCTACTTCCTCTCTGATTTGGCTCTTGTGCTTACGGTGAGGAAAAAAGTCACTGTTTTGTGAGCTGCCTCCTCAGGATAATGAGTCTGGAACCTTGATTTGTGGAATAAAAGGAAGACCCACTTTGGACTCTCTTCAGGGACTTGAGTTGTACTAACAAAAGGGACTTAACCCTAAGATAAACGTAAATCGTATAACCACAAGGATACTGGGTATCATATAATATCTCTTTATATATAAAAATAATGGGAGTGTCAAAAATAAAGAACAGATCTTATGTCAGGGGCTTCAAAAACTTTGTGGGAAAATGGAATCAAGAGACATGGAATTTTTCCACGAACGTTTTGAAGTCCTCTCGTAAGGTGAAGATTTCAGTCTCCTACAATTAGAGAACTGAATGAAAACAGTATTTACTACCATAAGTCAGACAAATGGTTATCAAGCACTTGTATATAGAATAACGTTTGACCTGTAAGGGATGAGGGCTTCTGTTTTGTTTTAAAATGTGCTTATGTCATCTCATGAGAAAAACTGGTCAAACCTCAAATTACTAACTACAGCTCCTAGTACAAGGGATTTCCGAAAGTTTGTGGAAAAAGTCCGTTGTCTTTTCATTCCGTTTTCCACAAACTTTATGAAGCCCCCACGTATAATCAGGCAGGTTCGATTGGATTCACGTAGCCTGGAGGTACACGGGGTGCTTTGAAATAGGGGGAAGAAGAAATCAGAATATGAATTCTTGAGCAAATGGGAGAAGACTGGCACTTTGGAACCATAGGTACCTGCTGGAAACTAGTAGTTTTGCTTAGGTGTCATCAGGTTGGTTCCCTCTGAACAGTAGGTCCTGCCCATCCTCACAATCACTATGTTTGAGCCCATTGTTGCAGCCTGTGTGTCACGTCATCTCATTGAGGATCTACCTCTCTTCCAATGACCTTCTTATTATACCAAGCATGATGTCCTCTGGGGGGACTGCCCCCTCCTGATAACATGTCCAAAGTACATGAGGTGAAGTATTACCAGCCTTGATTCTAAGGAGCATTCTGCCTGTACTTCTTGGCTGGAGAGTGTCGTTGAGTCTGTTCCGACTCATAGTGACCCTGTAATGGGTTTCCGAGGAGTAGCTGGTGGATTCATGGTTTGCAGTCCAGTGCTGATCCCACACTGCCACATGAGGAGTCCTTGCTAGAGAGTAGCAGGAGTAATTCTGGGATGTGTGGTTTGGTGTCAGATGATGAAGCATTGAACTTGTTACCAGAAGGTATTAAAAGCCAGTGGAGATGCTTAAGAGGAGATGTGCTCTGGAAGTGATACCTAAAGGCTATTAATGTGGGAGGAGAGGGTGTAATTCACTACTCCTTGAATCCAAGTTCTTGCAGAGGTTGCGAGCATGTGAGCTAATGAGAACTTCTCGGTATGATGGGGGCGGGGAAGGGGGATAGGAAGCATAGTCGAGACAAGTATATAAGAAGAGTCCGCAGAACAAGTCAAAACTATAGATGTTGATTTGAGGAAAGGGACAACAGAGCTGCTGCCTAAATTGGACTTAAAAACCCTCTGCGTTGACTGGGGCCAGGGTGGGCAACCAGATACAGCTAGGAGGAGAGAGGAACTGAGCTAGTGAGTTACTTGTTAAGAATTTAAAGGGGCAGATGGACATCTGCATACTACCTGCTGTAGAAAGGAAGCCCCCGGTAGACAAGTGGTGTCACATTTCACAGAGAGAGGCACGGGAAAAGCTTCTCAGGAGTCCTTATGACCCTCAGGAATTCTGTTTCAGTTGAGTGAAGAAGGCCAGAAAGCCAGGATGTGTTTGGTTTTATGGAAGGAGCACTGAATGAGTAAGACTGGATACATTCGGCTCATCTTTCCGATATAATTTGGCATAATAAGAGGAGAGCCACTGTAAGTGGATGGGGAAGAGGTAAGGAAGTAGAATAATTGATTTCAGTCTCTGAATAAAAACCTTGTGATTTAATGAAATGTTCTCTTGACTTTCCTGGAGTTCCAGACTTGAACAAATGGATGTATTGTATTTCCTAAACTAAACAAACAGTGGGGATTAAACCACAGTAATGATATTCTACATACAAACAGAGGCTGTGTGTCACTTGAATAATAATGTCTTGTGTTGTGTTTTTTTTTTCCTCCTCTTAGAACTTGTTCAACTTGATGTTTACCCAGTTCCAAATTATTTGTCCTACATGGATATTTCAAGGTAAGAAGCAAGAGTCTTACAGTGTACTGTGATCTAAACCAGAAGAATCAAAGTGTCAGTGTGGACACAAATCCGGAACACCAGGTTTGGGTTGAAATGATTAGTCCATTTGAAGGAAGGAGGCTGAAGGTCCAGTAGCTTTTGAATGGTATTAACTGTATGTTGGAGTCTTTCCTTGAAACGAGAGTTCATATTTTAAAAGCATCTTGTATTCTATTTCTTTGACTTTTCCCCTTGCTCACTGTTGTATTTTGCTGCATTTGTTTTCCCTTAAGCATAACTTTGAAAAAAAGCGTATTTATGCTGGCTTGGAAGAACAAATTAGATTTTTTTTATGATGTGAAATTTGGAGTAGAAAACTCCTTACAAAATAGTGATTGAGCCTACCAAGATAGAAATCCTGTGGACCTGCTCAGTTTTCTGAGCTGGTTTGTGACCATATTGACCACCATCCCACCTTGCATACAAACAACTCTGCAGTCTGTTGTGTTTGTACCTCTTCCTACAATGTTATGTTGTTGTTGTAGTGTCATTGATTCGGTTCTGACCCATAGCAAACCCTGTATAGGGTTTCCAAGGAGCAGTTGGGGTGAGCTTGAACCGCCAACTTTGCAGTTCAAACGGCTTTGCCAGTCTGGGACATTAGTCCACAGTGTCACACCAGGACTCCGTTATAGGATGGTGTTATAGGAGACAGTGTTATAGACTTTTTCTGAAGACACACAGGTACTGTGATTCTGTCTATAGTATTTCTGTATACAAATTGAACTTTGATAATTTTATTACTCTGCAATTGAAAATCACTTTGAAGGAAATACTCAAATATTTATTTACCAACCAGAGCAGATGGGAGTGCCTGGCCCCCTTCACTTCATGCAAATTCTGACCTGCTTGCTACGAGAACCTTACTTTATAATGATAGCTCTTTGTTACCATCATGCAGAGAATTTGTCTTTTGTCATAAAAATACACAAATTTATTTTTGTGAGATGCTCAGTAAGAATGTCATTATTTAGCTAATGTAAGGATTATTGCATTTTCAGTGCTATTAAGTTTACAGTGATAAAATTACAAAATCTTCTAAGAGTTGCACTTCATAATTTCCTACTAAACACATGTCAGGTTTTTTGTAAATTTAATGAACTTACTCAGAAATTTACCTGATTAAGTTCATTTTTATCCCTATCAGCCCAGCATGTTATTGTCTTCAGCTTTTTAATAACAACAGTGCAGTGTGACTGGGATTTACATACATGGGTGCATAGCAATACCTTGAAGAGATTTATTTCCGAGTTGGAGTGAATCTATTTTCCATTTGATTTGTCAACTATAATTGGTAGACAGTTCCCACCAAAACCCCTAGGGGAGGCCACCTGGGGCCTCTGTTCAATCAATCTCATTGCTAGCGCTCTTCCTTATTCATGTCCAGAATCTTCCTCTGTAGAAGCCCTCTGAACCCCTCACAGTCTGCCTTACCCTCCTTGTGAGTGTTTGCTGACTATGGGAACTCAGCTGTCAACTCTCCCAGTACCTGCCACCAAAGACCAAACCTGACCCACTGCCATCAAGTCGGTTCTGACACACAGCGACCCTGTTTAGGGTTTCCAAGACTGTTGGTCTTTATGGGAGCAGACAGCCTCATCTATCTTCCGCAACTCTGTGGCTGGGGACTTTGAACTGCCAACCTTGCAGTTTGCAATCCAGTACTTATCTTACAGTACCACTAAGGCTTCTTGCTAGATCTTTAAAAACAAAAAACAACAGCCATGGAGTCAGTTCCAACCCATAGTGACTCTAGAACATAGTGAAACTGCCCCATCGGATTTCCAAGGCTCTAGTCTTAGGCTCACCTGGTGGAGCCCTGTAAGATAAGCACTGTAAGACAACAAGGTTGGCAGTTCAAACCCACCTGCTGCTCCTCGGAAACCCAACGTATAACCATGAGTTATAACTGACTTGATGAGGACTCCTAACAACAATCTTCATGCTGCTGAGTGACTGCTGATTTCTCACCACCAGCCTTTCCGTTCTCAGCCCAGTGTTCAGCTGCTGCACCACCCTCTCCCTCTGCTCACTTCCCTCTCCTTTTGTCCTTCTAGGCCTTTCTCAAACTCATTCACTGCCATTGAGTCCATCCAACCCACAGGGACCCTGCATAGGGGTTCTGAGACTATCAGGAGCGGAAAGCCTGCTCTTTCTCCAAGTGACTTGTAGGTTTCAACTGCCTACCATGTTGTTAGCAGTCCAGTGCTTATCCTACAGCACCATACTAGGACTCCTTAATAGTGGTAGTGGTGGTGGGATGCTGTGGAGTCAGTTCGGACTCACAGCAACCCTGTACAGGGTTTCTGAGGCTATAAATCTTTATGGGAGCAGAAAGCTTCATCTTTCTCCCATGGAATGGCTGGTAATTTCAAACTGCTGACCTTGAGGTTCGCAGCCCGACTCGTAACCACTACGCTACCAGCGCTCCTGGACTCCTTAATAGGTCTTCATTCTTCTTGTTGTTAGAGTGCTGTTGAGTTGGATCCAACTCATAGTGACCTTTAGAAAGTTTCCTATTAGTGGCTGGGGCGTTAGAACTGCTAACTTTCTGGTTAGCAGTCCAGTGCTTAGTAAGACTTACTCAAATTCTGAGATTCAAGTTTACTGATAGGAGCTTTGCTTCTGGTATATACAGGTTGGGCATACATACTGAGGGATACTTTTTGAGATGTTTGGCACTGTGGAATAGGCATTGGGCAAGGCCAACATCAAAACCATCAGCTGCTCTGAGGGAGAAAGATGAGGCTGTCTGCTGCTGTCGAAGTTAGCAGTCTCAGAAAGCCTGTAACCGGTCCCTAGGAGTCAGGAAAGACTTGATGGCCATGGGCTTTTAATTTTTACTTTAGATTATACTGAGGGATACTTTTTGAGATATTTTAAATGTTAGTTTCTATAAAGTAAAATAGTTACACCCATCTTGGCCTTCAGAGCTACAGCTATGCACCTGTATAGGCAATAAACAGAAAACAATGCCTTCTAGTTCTGTATTTTTTAGTTGAAAAGTTGATATAATAGCATAATTACAGAACATGATTTTATCTATTTATTTTTAACAAACAGACACGTGTTCTGTCAGTTTAGGAGGCTGGAGTCTGAATTGAGAGTTCCGGCTCTCCAGGAAGGCTTTCTCTCTGTGGGCTGTGGAGGAAAGTCCTTGTCTCCTTGTAGCACCTGTAGACCCAACACTCCTTGGAGATCTTGGCATCTATCTTTCCCTGGATCTCGGAGCTTTACAGGTCCAAAGGATCCACTCCTGACTCTGCTTTCTTGGTGGTCCCTCCTCCTCTACTTATTTCTCCTTTGATTTTTGTAAAATAAAATATGTTGTAAGCCATACCCTGGGATACTCCCTTAGATCAGATCAGGGTTAGGATAGGGTTAAGGTTATTGCAGCCCACCCTAAATTATCTTCCTGGTTTATCACATCAGATGAGATCCTGGGGAATCATCACATAATTGCTGTATCACATCACTACTTAACTGCCCAACCACTGAAAATCAGTGGCCCAGCCAAGCTGACACATATTTGCGGGAACACGATTCAATTTATGACATTCCACCCTTTGGCCTTCCAAAATCCATGTCATTGCTACACACTACATCCCCCCAACCCATCATATTATTCCCAAAGTCTTCCAAAGGCCAGTGGTGGAGCAGGCACAAGGTAGCACAAGGTAGACTTTTCCGTTACTAATGGGAGCCATTGGAGGAAAGATGAGATAAAGGGCATCAAACAAGTTAAAAACCCGGCCAAAAAAGCAACAGCATTGCACTAGTTCTCAAAGCCCAAAATTAATCCTCTGTTCTCTGAGCCCATCCAGGCAGTGATCCTGTTCTGGGTGTTAGCCACGCTCTCTGGATTCTTAGCAGAGGCCCCTGAACCCTAAACTTCAGATCTGCGTTCCAGACCCACTGGAGTGGCAGCTCTGCTCCTAGTCCAGCTGAGAGTTAACCCCACTCACTTGACCCCAGAGGGCTCCATTCTTTTTCAGCTTCAGGCACAATAGCCCAACCCCTTTGCTTTGGGCAATCAATGGCCCCAACTTAATGGCAACCCTACACTCTAAACCTAGGAAACTGTGGTCCCACTCCTAGAAACCACAGAGAGCATGGATCCACCCTTTGAGAATCCTGGGTCATGGCCCCACCTTTTGAGAACTAAATACCTCTGCTTCCTACACACCTTGTCTCTTCACCTTCTGCTTCCTGGTTCCTTGGTCTTTAGAAGAGGCCGGCATGGCCTCTTTCTTCTTCAGCAAGTGTGACAAAGTTCTTCTTCGAGCTCTACCAGTAAGTACCCACATCTTAAGTGCCTATAAGAGCAGCATCCCTTTTCTCCTTATACCACATTCTGTCTTAATTATGTCATGCTGTTATAACAGAAATACCACAGTGGATGTCTTTAGCAGACAGACGTTTATTCTATTACAGTTTAGTAAGCTAGAAGTCCCAATTCTGAGTGCTGGCTCTCGGGCAAGGCTTCCTCTCTCTATAGCTCTACAGAAAGGGCCTGGTCTCCTTGCGGTAGCTGTAGGCCCAGTGTTCCTAGGACATCTCCATGCACCTCGCTCTGTCTTCCTCTGGATTTTAGGGCTTCCCAGTGCAGGGGTCCCAGGTCCACTCCTGGCTCCTCTTTCTTGGTGGTAGTCGACCCCTCCAGAACATGATTTTCAATCACACATAATTCCACCACGTAACCATCACACCCAGGTTTAGTTTTGCTCTAGCATTGTCTAGTCTTGTTCAAAGTGTCATATTTTTACAGAATTTTTGATCAGTTTTTTTTAATAAAAAATTATAGTCATAATATACACACCATTTTAGATTCTCTGTGCCTGGTCACTTCACATATCGAAAGGTGTGTGTTGTGTATGTTGTATTAAGTGTGTGTGTGTGTGTGTGTGCGCGCGTGTGTATATATGCATTCGCATGCACACATGCACACATACTTAAGTACTTGCCTCACTAGACTGATTTAAGTAAATAGCCCTGGGACCAGACTTTGTAGGCTTTGAAATAATGCAGATGATGTAGTTTAATACCCTTCCTTAATTTTTATTTATTTCAATTACTTAATAAAATTAATCTTGCTTTTTTATTAGAATAAACACACATAGCCTTTTGATTTATACTAACTATAACTTGGTATTTCATTTGAAGTTTTATTTTTTTGTATTTATTTTTAGAATCACAGTTTAGGTTTCCTTGCAATTAAAAAAGCGAAAATAAAAGACAAAAGTGTTTTTTTTGTTTTGTTTTATTCTTGTGTCTAGGAACCGCCTAGAGACCGTGCCTGAGTGGGTGTGTGAAAGCAGAAAGCTGGACGTTTTGGATGTTGGCCACAATCAAATATGTGAGCTGCCTGCACGGTAAGCTTTGGCCATCAAGTGAGTAAATCTGAAATCAGAGATTGAAAGAGTCATCACTGAGTCCATGTTAGACTTGTTCTTATGAGCTCTGACTTGCTGTCTTTTCTCTCACGTGTCGTCTTCCAGCTACAAACTCTCTTCATGCAGAGAAACAGAGAGGGGCACGTTGACTCCCAACCAGGCTTCTCAGAGTCTTGTCGGGGTCAGCGCCTGGCGGACATTGCAAAATAAGCTAAAAGATATGTTCGCAGACTTGGCAAATACTGTGATTGGTTCATCTCAGTCCCTTCTGAGTCTACCACTTGTATCCAGTGACTTACATATGTCTATCCTACCCATGGGAAGCATGTTGGCTCCATAGGATAAGCAGTGGACTGCAAATCACAAGGTCAGCAGTTTGAGCCCACCTGCCACTCCGAGAGAAAAAGATGAGGCTCTACTCCCACATACAACCTCCGAAACCTTATAAAGGGTCACTGTGGGTTGGAATTGACTGCATGGCATTGAGCCATAACAACCACCTTACCCATTACAAATACGTGGTTTCCCTCACACGTAACTTTACAAAAGAGAACTTATGATTGCATCATTGCTAGAAAGAACAAATGAAATTTTGTTTTTCTTGATGTGAAATGTGGAATAAAAAAGCCCAGAGTTTCTCTTTTCTTCTCTAATCTCTGTCTGTGTGTTTTATCTTTTTTTTTCCATTATGTTTTGCCTCAATGGCCAGATTTGTTAACAATCACAGGATGCTGTACATTGTCTACAGATACAGACAGAAGTATTATTTGTTAGTTGACTAAATGGTAGCACAAAATATTATTGGACTATTTGTCACTCACTGTTGGTGGTGGTTGGTGATGGTTGTGTGCTGTGGAGTCGGTTCTGACTCTCAGTGACCCTGCATAGGGTTCCCGAGGCTGTAAATCTTTACAGGAGCAGAAAGCCTCATCTTTTTCCCATGGAACAGCAGGTAGTTTTGAACTGCTGACCTTGAGGTTAGCAGCCCAATTCGTAACCACTACGCTACCAGAGCTCCATTTGTCACTAGCCATTGCAATTGATAACCAAAACAGCAGTGGTCGGTCAGTGCGGTCCAGAAGAACTTCTGTGAGGACAATTCAATGTGGTGTCCACTAGCCCCTCGTGTGAATGCGGAATTTAATTTTTAATTTCATTTCATGTAAACAGCCTATTGTGGCTGGTTGCCGCCGTTTTGGACATCTCAGGTCATAGAGCCAGACATTGTTATTGTGTGCCATCCAGTCAATTCTGACTCATGTGACCCCATGTAGGGTTTCCAAAGAGCAGCTAGTAGGTTTAAACAACTGACCTTGAGTTAGCAGTCCAGAGCTTCTTCTACAACACCACACCGGGGCACAGTTAAAAACTGCAAATACATTTTATTGTAAAAGTATGTCACCATTTCAGAGTTTATCTTTAGTTTAGAGGCACAGTCTTTAAAAGTAACTGATCAATATTTTTCTGTTTTCTTGTCAAGAACAAGTGTCATGAAATAGACAGGCTTGCTAAGCTCGGCAAATGTTTTAGTGTTGCACTGCCCAGTATCTTGACCACTTGAAATATGACTAGTCTCAATTGGGAAGTGCTATGAATATAAAATCTATACTGGATGCAAAATATCACAGTACTAAAGTTTTATATCAACCAAAAGTTAAAATAATAATATTTGGGATATGTTGGGTTCAATAAAATAGACTATAAAAATTCACTTTTTTCTTTTTATGGTTTTCAGTGTGGCTACTAGAAAATTTTAAATAAATGTGTCATTGTTAAGTGCTATCAAGTCATTTTCGACCCATAGCGACCCTGTGTAGGGTTTATGAGGAGCAGTTGGTGGGTTTGAACTGCTGACCTTGTGCTTATCCAACAGCACCATACCAGGATGCCTTACATTATATTTCCATTCAGGGGCAGATCACCCAGTAAACAAGTGAACACATCAAAGATGTGGTGAAATCCATGTCATACTGTTGTTCATTATAGATCAGTAATACTAAGTCAATGCTAATTTTGCCTACTGGATATTCTTTTCTTACCAGTAAATATAAATTTGAAAAGAGGTTTTGATACTGTAGGAAGGTGCTTGGGGTTGGAAGAGAGACACATGCCAGCCAGACCTAGAAGCAGAATTTTTGATGCCATGAGAATGTAAAACTGCTCACTATAGATGACCATGTATTTCACATATAACGCTCCCAGGTACATACTATGTATATGTGCATAGTGCCCAGAGGAAACTAAATCAACAGGAATTGTGGATTCATTAAAAAAAAAAAAGTATGATGTGTGCATTGCTTGTGTATCAATAAACAGTAGTAAATAAGCCTGTGCTTATTGGGTAATCTGACAGTATTTCTGTTGGAAAGCACTGTGTTCAAATATAGCTGTTGTAAAAGAAATTAGTTACATTTCAGTTCCTAGGTGGCTGCACTAATCTTAATTTGTTCCTCTGCCACACATTCTGCCTATCAATCCAATGATCCATTTGAAAATACTTTCTACCCCAGGGTATTATGTGGGCTAATTGAGGGCTTAGGGTGACCTAGAACGTAGCGTGTGTACGAGTTTGTGTCTCTATCCCTGTCTGTCCATCAGTGTGTCCATCCCACTTAGACAAGGAACAGCGGAAGTGAAAACAGGTTACTACTAATGACAGCAAAACAGCAAGGTGACGAAAGGCTTCACCCTCTCCTCCCTCCTGTTTCCTCTCTTCCTCTCACCTCTGCTTCCTCACTCACTCACTCACTCACTCACTCACTCACTCACTCACTCACTCAGGCTCTGCTAACAGGTCAGTGGCTCTATACCAAATTTAAACACAATAGATGATAGGGACTATGCCCTCTCCTACCAAGCTTTGGTGCCACACAGGGCATCTTTTCATGGTCCCCGCAGCACAAGTCAGCAGAGCACAGTGATTCAGGAGAAAGGTATTCTTTATATAAACAGTGAAAAACACACACAAGATAAATGATGTTTCATCCTATTTTTCCCAAAGTTAGCTAATTTTAGATTTGCTGTACTCTTTTATTACATGCGTTATTGATCCAAACAAACACTTATTCAAAGCAAACCCCAAATACTCTATTGTTAAGGAATTTAAACAGTGTTTTGTTCAGTGTTGTGTTGTTTTTTAAAAGGACAAAAACAGTTTGTATTATTTTCTCTTTTATGGTGTAAATTAGTTGTAAACTGTGTGAACCAGCCCCATCACTGATGTAATATTCAAGCAAGGCAGTAACTCAGTGGAAAATAATTCAGTAGCCAAGCTTTGTTTATCTAAGAAAGGCTTTCACAAAACAAGACTTGATACTTAGAAGTGGAAATACATTAAAAGGGAAGGAAGATATTTGACTGCTTAGATAGTAGTCAAAAGAATTGAGCTAAATCCAGTAATAAGTATCTTACGCTTTTTCTGGAGTTCATCAGTAGCAAATTCTGTTTTGTAATTAGAAAACTCATGATAAGGTTATGGGCTTTATTAGGAAAGTTAATAGGTTACAATGTAGGATCAGAAATAATTCAAGATACAGCAGTCAGGCGTACCTCTCTTGCATGCCAGGCAGCCCCCTGGCCTCTGTCCTGCTGGAGCAAATGTGACACATCTCCTTAAGCACTGTCAGTAAACACCCAGAGGGTGCGTACTTGATCTGTGGGCCTGGAAGCCTGCCTCTCTGTTTCAAGGTTGGCTCTGCTGCTCCACCGAGGGATCTCAAGGTCTGAAAGATACATACTGCTAACGGTTCTCCTTTCTTGCTGGTCAGGAGATTCCTCAACTTGATGCTTTTGAGTTGGCCGAACAGAGCAATCCCTGGGTTAGAGTCCCATAAACCCTATTTATAAGGATCCACCCAAATTATTTGGTATAAGTTACAAAGACTACAAAGCACAGAGGGCTCTGTACGATAAGCACTAGATTGTGAACCACAAGGTTGGTAGTTCGAGCCCACCAGTTGTTCCTTGGAAGAAAGACAAGGCTTTTTGCTTCCACAGCGATCCACATCCTTAGAAACCCAATATAGGGTTGCTCTGAGTCAGAACCCACACTTAATGACAACAACAACAAACTGTGTGGGTGGTTGGTAGTGGTTCTGTGCTGTGGAGTCGGTTCCAACCCACAGTGAACCCTGTATAGGATTTGAGGCTGTAAGTCATTATGGGAGCAGAAAGCTTCATCTTATTCCCACGGAGTGACTGGTAGATTAGAACTATTGACCTTGAAGTCTAGAAGAGACTTATTAAATCGTTCCCTGTTCCACACCTAGGAGCACCCGAGAGTGCTGGTGTGGCCCGGTGGGATAAAGCACTGGACTGGAAGGTCAGTTTGAACCGCAAGTTCAGCAGCTCAAGCTCACCAGCCGTTCCTTAGAAACCCTATACAGGGTCACTATGAGTCGGAACCAACTACACAGCACTTAACAACAACAACAATCACACCTAGGGATATTGGTCACCCCTGGAACAAGCAACTGGAAGGCTGAGGAACCTGAGGGAAGGAGCTTTGTCGCTTCACTGAGTACCTTTAAAGTCTTTGGGCTTCAGTGTCATGTGTGTGTATTGCCAAATAAAAACAGTTGAACACAAATGCCCAATTCTCTCTGAAGCAACAAAAGGCAGACAGATGGTTAGCCTCGTAGTTAGGTAAGCACAAGTCATGGGCTGAGACCTGAGTTCAAATCCCATTTCTGCTAGGCAGCTGTGCAAACTTGAACAAAGTACCCAACTTCTCTGAGCTTGTTTTTTCATCCACGAAATGGCTTTATTAAAAGCCATGTGCCTGTGCTTTGGAAAACAGAAATGAGAACAGTTGTACGGCCTGAAGAAAGTAAGCAATGTCACTAAATTGTACATGAAGAAATCGTTGAATTGGTGTATTTTCCTGCTGTGTGTTCTCAACAACAACAAATATATTATTACCGTGTTAAGTACCGTGGAGTCAGTTCTGACTCATAGTGACCCTGTACAGGGTTTCCGAG